ATAGGGGCTGAGTTTTAGAGAACAATCAGTTATTGGGACCAGCAATCTCCATGAGTACCCTTTCCCCACTCTATTAATAGGAGACAAAATTCTATGAAGAAAAATGAGAAGAAAAACTGATTCATATAAAAAACTGCATGAAATAAAGATAAGTAAAATTATATTTTGCTTTAAACAACTGGGATTGCATTCAAGGAATTGAAAGCAAACCTTAAAAAATATGGTTGAAAACTATAAGCTATACATTTGGCATAGCACATTGCAACAGGAGCAACATAAAAATTTTAGAAGCAAAAATGCTAATAAATTGATGGGAAAATAGATAGGAGCAATGAGTAAACACAGTCTTCTGAATGTGGCTCCCAGTGTCTTAGGTTGATCTTACTGGTCAAATCTGCCAGTGTTTCCTTGAGAGAAAATCCTGCATTTTGATGGATCTTCTGATGGGACTTCTCTTCCCTGGCTGATGAGGTTCTTCAGACCCAAGGCATCCTCAGCTGGACCAGTTACATAATTTGTTTTCCTTCTTTCTAAGTGCTTTTCTTGTATGACATGTATCAGATACTCTCTTACTTTGCTGGGGCACTGACTTCTCCCACATGTCACCCTTCATCATCTTCCATCATGATTACTTCAGTTTCCACTTGTTATATGGAAGACTGTCAGATTTGAGACTTTTTGTGGCCAGTATTCGTGGCCAGTATTGCTTGGTCTCAGGATTGGGATTACTTTTTCTTAGCTCTACTTTGTGAAACACTTGTAGTTTTACTACCTCAGAACCACTAGGGGGAGAAGATTACTAGCAAATCACAGCAATTTGCAAATGTGAGGCAAATATTTTAAAATACTAACCATTGGTGTTTTTTGGATGTACTTTAAAAAAATTAAAAGATTTTCAACAGTTGTGAGTTTACAGAAAAATGGAGGAGAAAGTGTAGAGATTTTTTCAGTTCCTCTTTTTTTCTCTTACTAATCCTATCATCAACTTCTTGATTAGTGTGGTCCATTTGTTGCAATTGATGATCCAATTTTGATACATTACTATCAACTGGATTGCACATTTTATATTAGGGTTCACATCTTGGGTTATATATTATATATATATTAATTTTTAGGTTGATTAAAGAATATTTTACTGGGTTTCTAGATAAGATGGTATTGAATCTGTAGATCAAAAACTGACATTTTGACATGATGAATTCTACCCACATACATGAAATATCTCATGATTTATGATTTTTTAAAATTTCTTCTATTAAAGTTTTGTGGTTTTCACGAGTGTGTTGATGTTTAATTTTAACCTGTGGTTATTCTTTCCTTAAATTTTGATCTATGCTCTCCAGTATAGCACTCCCCATCTGCATGTTGCATTAAGAACTTGAAATGTGGCTTCAGTGGAAATACATATTAGATTTCAAAGATTTAGTAGCATAAAAAAAAGGTAAACGAGCCATCAAAAACTTTATGTTGAATTTTTATCAAATTGTATTTTGGTTATCTTGAATAAAAAGATTATTAGTGAAATGAATTTCATCTACTTATTTTTTATCTTTTTCATGTGGCTACTAAAAAATTTAAAATTATGTAGGAGGCTGGCATTGCATTTTATTAATAACACTCCTCTGGACTTTTGTATCTATTACCTTGTTCAAGCTTTGTTGGTTATTTTAGTATTAGAATTAAATTAGGATTCAATGTTCTAAGAACACTTTATATTTCTCACACCCTCAGCATGTACTATTTCCCCTTGTTTAATACTTTGTCAGTTAAGATCCTTCACTAATTCAACCCCTTCCAAGCAAGGCCTTAAGATGATGCTACTCATGGACTCACAAGCCCTTGTGTTTTGTAGCCTTTGCAGAAGTAACCTCATCTATGTTTTATTCATAACTGAGGGTTGAACCTGGACCTCTCATGTGCGAGTCAAGCACACTCTACCATTGAATTAAATACCCAGCCCATTTCTCCACTTTTTCAGTTTTTTTTTTGTGTTTATGCATTTTTTGCATGTGTAGGTGGGTGTGTATACACTTGTGGAAAATTGAAGTTGTTGGGAATCATTGTTGATTGATTTTTCATCTTATCCAATAGGGCAGGGTCTCTCAATTAAACCCAGAGCTTTCCCCCGGGGCTTGTCTTGGTATCCATCTTGCTCTAGGGAACCCTGTCTCTACCTTCTGAGGCTGGAATTCCAGGAGGCCACCAGGCCCACCAGCATTTTATACTGGACTCTGGGAATCTGAAATCTGGCACCGTATGTGATGGCAAGCACTTGAACCTCTGTGCTGTCTCTCCTAGCCCCATAGTCCTTTTCATATTTTTATTGTGAGAAGGTTTAACTAAGTTGACCAGGCTGGACTTGAACTCTCTCTATAGCTGTGGCGGCGTTTGAACTTGTGATCCTCCTGCTTCAGCCTCCTTATTACCTGGGATTACAGGCTGTGCTACCAGGATACAGTTAAGATAGTTTAACCACAGCTAGTTATGTCTTCTGTCCACTTAGGGTTTTCTTTGTCTTACTATGACTTGCATCAGATGGCATTGGTGTGGTCATAGGTATTTTTTGGATGTGCCTAACGAAAATTAAATTGGGGATACATCTCGTTTAGGCTTAGTGGAGTATATTTATATGGTTTGTGAACAGTTATTTCTGGATGTTCCATTTAGAAGTGGCTTCAGCTGTCACTCAGTGTTTTCATGCACCAAGTACTGAGACCTCCCAAGTGAAAGGTCAAAGTCTCTGTGCGACTGGGTTTGATGGTGCTTGGCAAAAGTAGGCATTTATGTCATTAACAGAAGGGAAATGAATGTCTAAACATTTGAAACTAGTTTTTTATTTCAGATGGTAAAATTGGTAACGTAGGTTTCAGTTTTCACTGATGCCTCATTTATCAGGGAAAGTCGTTCCACTCAGTAATATATTTGATATGCAGCATTTATATTTGAGTTTATTACCATTTTTAATTTTGGGGTGGGGATTGAATGAAATTGATTTTTATCAGAATTACTGTGTTAGGTCATACATTTGTGATAGTAAAACAAACAGTGGGAATTTCTGTATGTGAAGATCAAAATATGTAACCTGAAGAGGATAAAGGTAAACAGATGTGACATTGCTCAGAGTTGTTCTCCATATTTGATCTGAGGATCACTGGAAGGTCTCTGTGATCCTTTGGATGTATTGACAAAGTAAATCTATTTTTGTAATAACGTTCAAGTGTTATTTTACTTTTTACTCTACCTGTCTGAATCTTACCCTGTGAAAAATTTCCAACATTCAATACAGAAGCAGATGAAAGAATCATAACATCTTTTGATATGTCAAACATGAGATTTCAAGACTAAAAGCATTCTTGCTGATTTTTTAAGAAGGTTGGACCACAAAAAATGATAATTTATATACATGTTTGAGATTTTGTAGATATGAAATGCTGATGATAAATCTTTAATCACTGAAGGACTTGGGATGGAATAAATTTCATGATGCTTATTTAGGTCTGTTGTATACTGATGGGACCAGATATATATCCTGAGAAAAGCTATTAGCCTGATCTTTGGGGGTAGGGGTGAAGCAGTTACTTATATTGTTTGATTATTAAGTAAAACTCAGGAGTCAGATATCGGAGTAAAAACCTGATTGATTAGAGAAGCATTGGAGAAACAACCAGTGACCTCCTCTCTCTCTCTCCTTCCTCAATCCAAAAAGCCAATAATCTTTCTAAGCCCCTCTCTGTTATTTCCTGTGTCTATATGTCCTGGGTCCTCGAGAACCGCTATGGCTAATTCTGGTCAGCTAGTAGCTAGCTCTGCCCTCTGATTCAGAGTAGAGTTTATTGACAGTCTTGGAAATGTCTGAGTGTGATCAAAATATCCCACAACATGGGAGGGGAGAGCTTAATTTCAAACTGGATGAATGCAGTTGTCGGAGTTATACGTTTAACCAGATTAAATTCTGTCTTTTAGGTGGATAGGACAAGAGTCTCATACTGGTCTGACTGGGTGATTGCTTTTGTATCAGTGCTGTTTCCTATTCTTAGCTATTCTGTGTTAAACGCCAAATGCTGCCATCCTACAACTTAGACTCTAAAGCTGCTCGTGTGCCAGCACCAGTTTGTTTCTGTTGTTTGCAGTAAATTAGCATAAACAATTTGTGTATTGAAAATTAAATTTCTTTCTTCTGGAAGCATGTTGTAAGGTGGTTGTGAATAGGCCAGAGTTTATCCCCACATCACAGACTATCTTCTTTCTTGGCAGAAACACTTCCCACTTCCAAAGAAAGTTCTAGGCTTAAAGTCATGAAGACGTGCTGAAGTAATGCAGTTTCTGAAGGCATCCAACTTTCTTCCAGCCCCAAATGAGAAAAAAGTCAGTTTTCAAAATATATTTTAATATACACATCTTTCAGATTTGAAGTAGCACACAAAGTATTTCAAAGACAAATTGATCTATTTAATGATTTTTTTTCGAACTTGGCATTATCTTCATTGAATATATCTTCTGAAATTTCAAGCGAAGTCTCAGATAAACTAAGAATTTCTACCTCCCAAGACCTTTCATTGTGTCTCAGTCTTTTCTGTCATGTGACTCATGAAGATGATTCACATATAACCTCCAAATGGAATGTGCTTTAGCCAAGGAGATCTGAAGCAGCTTACTGAGTTCCTAGAAGAAACAAAGTGATTTTTAGATGCAGGTAAAAGCATACTGTGCTTACACACGATGAAGGGAATGAGTATATATCCACTGTGTATCCACTGTGTTAATTTCAGACCATTACCGGTGGCTCCTTGCAATATTATGGTTAAGAAATTCTAGGGCTCATTCCAAGTTGGTTACAGGCCCCGTGTGTGTGTGTGTGTGTGTGTGTGTGTGTGTGTGACTGTATGTGTGGCAGAAGTTAGCAACTGTCTTCTTCTAGGGTTGATACCATTGCATTGGTATCCTGGTAAACTATTCCTTCCTGTGTCATGATGCCTGTGAAGAAAGAAGGCTCCTGGCCTCTACTGAGGTCTGTTTTTGTCAGTGCAAAGGCAAAGAACTCCTCTCTGCCACTCTGCAGATGACCTTCCTGGTGATGAGCATGGTGTAAGCTGGGACAACTTACTATTTGGTGGGTCTAGAGTGGTTCCCTCCGTGGTGTGTGGGCCCCTTCTCATGCCTGCAGGGGTGCTGGTTTCATAGTCGTCATCATCTGTGACACCAGGAGTTGTGACTTGGCCCCGGGTGGTTCCCTGTGTGGCCGGGCTTGCTCCTGCCTGTCTTGTAGGAAGGACTCCGTTTTGCGCGTCCGGTTTAGCCCCTGTCTGACTGGAGGGCAGAATGCCTCCAGGGAACAAGGGGTGGATAAGGAGGCCTGTGAAGATTTGTGAGGCTAATGGCTAGAATAGGGAAGAAAACAGAAAAAAAAAACCTCATTTAAACAAGGTTAACTAATCTCTTTTTTTTCGGAGGACAGCAGGGTGGGATAGGAGCGGCAGAAGGGAGAGGCTAAAGTCAGAGAAAAACACAAAGACCCGACATTCATCAGAAATGGGCCCTTGTCAGGGCCAAGTCTGTTGCTGGTTTTAGTGCTGGGATTTTTCGCTGCCCTCCTTTTCCTCAAAAAGGGGACTAGAAGTACAAGCCAGTCATAACAAAAGAACAGCTGGAAGTTATGAGGCATGTCTGGAGACAGTGCTAAGGTAGAAAATCTACAAAACATTGATAAACTCTATCTGTCCTTGACCTAAAATACAATCTTTTTTTTTTTTTGGCCCATAAAAATTTGAGACTACAATTAATGGGAAAATTAATGCAAGTTGATTAACCAGACATTGCCTTCCTGGCTTGAATCCCTTTAAGCTTCCTTTAGCATACTTTCTACGGCATCGCTGTGTTCTGTCGGAGTAGTTCTCTCTGCACTTGAGCTGCCTGGGTAGTTTCTGAGATAACTGAAGGGACACCTCATTTTCAGAGACTTCCATGGCTACATCCTGGTAATCTGAATTTAAGCTAGTTCTCAAAGTCATCCGGAGGTGATCTCAATGGCAGGACCGTAGGTAGGTAGGGAAACATTGTCTCAGATTTAAGAGATCCTGAAGGCAGAGCCAGATCCCTGCTAGGTGAGTCAGGCAGATTACAACATAGAAGATTTCATCAGGATCATGGCACATGGTTTTGAAATATGGAAATTATGATTAACAGAAAAGATTGTAAATGATCAGAACACATTCTATGTAAGAGTAAGTATTATACTGTGAAATCATGTGTGCATTTTAGGTTGTATGAAAATATCATTATTACCATGGGTTGAAAACTACTAATATAAATGGATACATGCTGTGGATCTAGATCTACATTTTTTTCCTTTGAGACAACTTACTTAAGCTTGCTGAGCCTCAGTTTATCTGCACAATTCTGTCAAGGGTATGTCCTTTGTAGAGTGTGGGCTAAAAGAAGAGACTAAGGTGCTTGTTAGGTGAGAATGCCCAACAGCAGGAAGATGTGAATGTTCATGTGTCAGTGCTGGCAAAGCAGAGGGTGATCCGTGACTAGATTATTATTTAGGGTGGTATATATAGCAAATATAATACATACCCCTTTCATAATATAAAAACCATTTTAAAACTGTCTTCTATATACTACCTCAATCACTTACTTCTGTTGTCATGTTTAGATATCACAGTAGTCCAAATAGATGCCTCTAAACATGACGTGTGCATAAGTGCATAGTAATTATGAGTGATGGTAATAAGAATTTTAATTCCCATTCTTCAGGTATTTGTGTTTATAGGGAAGAATTCATTCGTCACTACCAGAATATAGAAAAAAAATCTCATAAAACGAAAAGTGCAACAGATTTAATCCCTCCTGTAGAGTCAATATTTATATCATTCTGCCTCTACATCTGTAGAATAGTGTATAATCTTCAATATAAAGTTTAACTCAATCAAAATAAAGTTTGTAAGTGTTCAATGGCCCCCCGGGTTCCTACTGAGTCTGATAGCAATAGATAGAAAGATAATGCAAAGTTAAAGAATGGAAAGTGGTAGGATCAAGATGACAGAAATCTTTAGCTGAGAAAGAATAATCAAATCCAGGGAGCTATGAAAACACACAGCTCATTATAGGAGAATGTAGGGGAGGGGATGTGATCAAAAGAACTGGAAGGGCAGAGGACACTGGGAGAAGTGAGAAGAATTTATTAAAAGGTTTTGTTTTTACCAATTCCTCTGAGCTTAGGAGAGTACCCTAAAAGCAAAATGACAAACAGAAGCAATTAGAGAAGTTTCAATATATTCAATGCAGTGTATATAATATAACTAAAAAACTTCAAATACTTTTAAGTATTATAAAGAAATTAAATAGTCTGGTATCTACATCGCAAAACTCATGTCAGCAGGTGATTTGAGACTGCTCGTCTTTATTATTGAATAATGTGATTTACCTTTGAAAACTATACATAAACATATACATATATATATATATATATATTATTAGGTGATAGATATACATTGGAAAGAAGAGCCTGGAGAATACAGAAAGCAACAGAAAAAATAATCCTATGATTTATATAATGGTCTTTCCAGGTGCTTTCTACAAATTTATTCTTCATGTAATAGAAACTGTCATTTATATAGTTTTTTCACCTTTCCTATTCTCTTAGTATTTCGTAACAACCCCTTAGCTGTGTTACTGCCAAATTTTAATAAATGTAATTTTAAATGGCTATGTAGTATTTATTTATGGTTATGTTGTAGTTCATTGAATTTTTCTTTTTTGGTTTGGTCTTAAATTTAAGGTTTAGCTATATTTTTATACACCACAAATATTACTTAAGGAGTATGTGGTACCTAAACCTTTGCTGCACTTCAGAATTTCTTTTCTTGAGATGTAGTCTCAAGATGTGGAATAAAAAGACAGTAGGAGTGGGTGGGTGTAGTGAATGACACACTCCTATAATCAATCCCAGTACTGCAGAGGTTGAGGCAAGAGGATTGCAAATTCAAGGACATCCTAATAAGCTATACAGATGCCTGTTTAAATACAAAGGATTGATAGGGATTTCATACTAATATTCGCCTCTGATTTTAGGAATGGAGTTGCCATCTGATGCTTATGCTGGTACTGATCTTGGTCCTTGGTAATTTTAACAGTGAGCTCAAGAGTAACTTTTGTAAAAACAAATAGGAAGAGAAGAAAGAAAAGAGGGGTTGAGGATTTTGGGATAAACACACATGGCTAAAATAGATTTAAGTTTAAAAAATAAATCCCCTGCATCATGGGTCATCATATTAATCCCATTAAGTTATTTCTTTCTTGACAGTGAAGTTTAGGAGATGACTGGTTGCTTCATTTACTGAGGGTGTGGCTAGAGGAGTAACCATATCTCACTCATTTTCAGAGTGGACGTGATGATGATGTCTCCAAGAGATTGTGTCACTGTTAACTAAAATGGTACCATGAAGAACTCAGAAATGAACTTGCCAGCCAGCCAGGGCTAAGTAAGTGTTATATCTTGCTATTCTCAGTGCTCACACAGTGTAAAGTGAGTTAGAATTCTGGTGTCTGATTGGTGAATTGAGACAAGAGACATGTTCTGCACACTTGCAATTGAAAAAACACAGCCTGTTTAACGATGGTCTTACCTGAGCTCCAAGTGGTGCCACAATGATGGGTAACATCTGAAAAATAAAGGGACAAAAATCACTGTTAAAGTAGAATACTGGGAGATGGGTTATAGGTTACACTTGCTCAGCAACCCACACCCACAGTTGAGATCTTTAAGGTGGGTGAGAAGTACTGCTAACTGGGTTATGAGTTGCTGGCTGAAATGGATGAGGAGCTGGCATGCTGTCGTATTCTCTACTACTCCAAACAAACAAACAAACAAACAAACAAACAAACAACAAACAAACAAACAAACAAACTAGCCTAAGTTTTTTTTTTTTTTTTTTTTTTTTTTGGTTTTTCGAGACAGGGTTTCTCTGTGTAGTTTTGCGCCCTTTCTGGAACTCACTTTGTAGACCAGGCTGGCCTTGAACTCACAGAGATCCACCTGCCTCTGCCTCCCGAGTGCTGGGATTAAAGGCGTGCGCCACCACCGCCCGGCAAGCCTAAGTTTTATAAAAGAGGAACTGGAGGCTTAAAATTTTAATTTTATTTCCATAGAAAATACACAGTGTCAGGAAAAATCATCAAAATTGACTTTTAACCTGGTATGTACCACTCTGAGAGACTTGAGTGTGGCAGACTCCCCATCTTACCATTTTCAGTTCATTTGTCACAGCAGTGTCTGTCACACCAACAGTGACAAGCACACATCTCCCTATAATAGTCAGCTTCTTGTCTCCTGACAGCAAAATATAACAGCAGCTAAAGCAGCATGGAACAAGCCCAACCAACTGTCGGAGTGGGCGACGCAGGGATAGGATTTTGAAGAAAACCAAATTAAAATCTCTTTTCAATGGAAAAGTGGAGTGGAAGGAACAAAAATCAATAAATAAAAAGGGGAACCGCGTGAGTGCATAAACGGAAATGATAAGGAGATGTAGCTTAATTAATTGTTCAGCAGTGTAACTGTGAAGAAAATACGTTGTCTTAGTTACTGATCGGAAGCTGTCTGAAGTAATGACCGTGAACACGCGTGTGTTTACTGTGCGGCATGAACTGTTCTACACACTTATTCTTCTAAACTTTATAATGCTTAGAGGAAGCCTCTACTTTAAGGCCTGTTTTAACTTTTGAGGAAAGTGAGTCCCACCAGGTTAAAATTACTTGCCCACACCATGCAGGCTGTGTACACAGAGAGTTGGGATTTGACTAGGTTTGTGGTTCTATAATCTTTTTCCCCCCAAGGTTGGCCTTTGGTAGAACAGGTTACAGACATAGGTTTGTATCATAGAAAGTGATCTGATTTTATATTGCTTTCCAAACATTTATGCTTATGCCCATAAATTAGTACTTCTGTCATCAACTTTGGCCAGAGAAACAACTTCTTCTCCTCCTCCTCCTCCTCCTCCTCCTCCTCCTCCTCCTCCTCCTCCTCCTCCTCCTCCTTCTCCTCCTCCTCCTCCTTCTTTTTGGCAACAGCTATGACAGGGACTCATAACTGATCAAAGTGTTGAGAATAAAAAGACCACTGAATGCTTAGCCCTAAGTGGGACTTCTGTACCACCCTTTCAGAGGCTCGGAGGAAAGCATAGCCGTGTGACAGACAGAAGGGACAGAGCGCTGTGCAGTGCTGTCTTGTGGGAAGGACATGTGGCTGTCACACTCTTGAACTCTCAGCAGCTGTGAGTACCTGCACAAGCCCTGCATAAGATTGGACCTGCCAACATTCTGTCATGGACAGGGGAGGGATCCATGAGGCCCCGCCCCTCTCTGAGGATCTTTGCTGGGGCAGCAGAGAGACATCTTCTTCAGTCATATAGCCACGGTTAAGTTGCCCATGTTCCTGTAAGTGCTACCTCACCTATGCTTCTGTACATTAACCTAATTAAGCTCAGTGGTTCACATGCACACACAAAAAAATGTGAAAGAAGAAGGAGACTAGATGGAAAGAGGAAGGCCAGTCAATGGGAGGAGGGTGAGGAGAGGGACATAGAAAGTAATGGGAAGTAGTTATGATCAAAATACTTCATATGCATGTATGAGAATGTCATAATGGGGCCATTATTATGTATAATATATGCCTACAAAATACTTCCAAAAAGTTGTCCACTCTACATAGGAAGAGGCAGGTTGGAAGGACTGGAGCTAGGCCTGGGAGAAAGCCAAGGAAACCCTTTGTGATAGCCTGGCCCAGAGGCACTGAAGCATCCCCAGAGAGAATGAGGACTCTGTGACTTAACATTCCTGCATGCTGGGGAATGTGCAATGTCAGATCTTCTAAACCTTTTATAACATGCCCAGGAATACTTCTGACTCTGGAGAATAAGATGCTGTGTCGAATCTGTTTCTTTTAAAATACTTTAATTTTTAAATCACCATACTATGTGATCTAATAGATGCCAGCATGACATTTGACCCAGGGTGTTTTTATGGTTCTCCTCCCAATCTGTCCAGCGCCCCACGGTAGCCTCCCAGTCCCCATACTCTGTTCCTCCATATTTTCATGCTAGGGTGGGGTAGCAACAGAGACTGAAGCTGGATGAATACACCAGCATCGTGTATTAAGGAAGCTCACATTTCATTTGCCTGTTTCTTTGGTCCTTTTCTTTGGTCCTTTTCAGAGGGCAAAATCTATTCTCAAGATTTTTATTATCAAAACATTTATGTGTCTTTGTTTCCAAAAAGTCCAAGAGTGAGTTCCAAAGAAACATTCCTCAATATAGCAATAGATCTAGTTATAGGATGTTATAATAACATGAGTTTAGAAGCCAAAAAATTGAAAAATAACCCCTGATTTCCTACAATAAGGAATTATGTATATAGCAGCATATTATGCAGTTATTAAAAATAACATTGTGAGTGAGTGTTTTAAGGTGTGGAAACAATTCATGCCATTTTCTATTCATAGAACAAACACCTGCAAATCATCTGCATATAGTTTCTAAGAACCTTGAAAAAGGCTCTTGGATCCCTGAAGCGTCAGCTGAGAGAAAATGCTCTCAGAGTTCAGGAAGCCCTTCCCTCGGCTTACCTGGGGCTGCAGCTGCTGTGGTCTGTTCAGCGGCCCTAGGGGAAAAGGAAGCATCTGTGTACCATGTGCTGGTCCAGTGGCAGGGTGGAGCTGTGGGGCATCAGAGAAGATTTTCATTATATTTCTTTCAGTTTGAATGTCTAGGACCCCAAAATATGTTTACTAAAGGTAAAAAATACTTTTATAGGAAGGATTTCTTATGTCAATTTGTAATATTTTATTGTGTGTGTAATTAATCACAGAGATGAAATTTAGATATTTGTTTAGTTTCCTAGCACAACAAGGTTCATTACAAAGATTTGTTTTTATTTTTAATTAAGTGCATGCATGTGTCAGAAAGTGTGGGGTGTGTGTGTGTGTGTGTGTGTGTGTGTGTGTGTGTGTAGGTGCCTAAGTTGGGCCTCCTGGAGCTGGAGTTATAGGAAGCTGTGAGCTGATCTACGGGGTGCAGGGAAGCATGTCTCAGATCTTCTCCAAGAGCAGTGCAGAGTCTTCCACACTGCTGCAGGTCCTCTACAGGTGCTCTTAACCACCGAGCCATCTCTCAAACCCCTACATTAAACTAAAAAGCAAAAGATTTAGTGTGTGTATGCTCATGCCACAGCATGTGTTTGAGGAGGTCAGAGAACAACTTTGTAGTTTCTGTGTTTTCCTCCTCCCTTATGGGGTTTCTGGGCGTTGGACTCAGGTTGTCAGGCTTTTCTGGCCAGTGCCTTTACACACTGAGCCTTCTTGTCTCTGCTTCCTTAGGAGTTAAATGTTTTCTTTGGCATGTCTGAGATAATTCAGGTAATTTACCCCCTTCTGGATACAATAATGGCTTTTGGACATTTTCTGATTGCTTTTTTCCCTTAATAAATGAATTATTTTACAGGTATTTCCAGACAAAATTGTGAGACACAATATAATGAGTCTGGAGCATGGGTTAATAGTATCTTTAAGTTTGAACACTGGGAAGAATCATGAGGGAAACATTTTTCCTCCCCAGACAGATGATTCTTTACAGATGTCTATGAGCAGAGTGAAGATCTTACTGTCCTATGGTTACCCCAGAGGGTCACAATACCAATCGTAGGTTTATGTGGAATGCAGATATAATAGGGGGCATCAAGGAGAGTCTGGTGCAGAAACTGGGGCAGGATCTTAGAGGAGAGGTATCAGGATTTGGAGATTGCAGATGAGAATGAGGTCAGTGTTATAGAGACCTGTGAGGAAAACTTTCCAGGAATTGAGTGGCATCTGACTCTCTTTGACTGCCTTCTTGCTCCTCCTGCAGCCCGTGTGCAGAGAGTGTGTGTGCATGTGCACTTGTGGATAGACGTTTCTATGTGTTCTTGACTCTCCTCCATGCTCAATATCAAGTGCCGTATTTATTAAACAAAAGGGAGTGAGGTGATGTAAAAGAGTACTTACCAATTGAAGGTCTGACCCCAGGGTGAGCAGTTGTGCTAGCGGTATTAGACTTATGGAAGGAAAGACCTGCGGGGCATCGAAACTGGGCATTAGACAAGAGATTATCTGTTTCTACTGCAATGCCAATGGTAGATAGTCTCAGGTAGTTTATACTGCTCGCAAAGGTATATATTCACCATCAAAATCCACAAGGGCAAAGGTTCAAGCTCTCTCACTACCCTCAAATTGTCTGTGTGAGGCCTCATTGTCCTCTGTGTGGTTCTGGATGGCCTAGCAATACGGCAAGGTAATGATATTTATCAGGTGATTTATTTATGGTTATTATTTACTTATACTTTTGTTTTAGTACTTAATTTTGCACATCCAATTTTATATTCTTTTCCCTAAAGAATGTCTCTAATAGTATAAGCTACAGATTCTATAAGAAGTTAGATTGATTAACTTGAATGATCTACAGTGTCCAATAGCTTGGACTTCTAACACTTTTGACTAATATTACAGAGTCTAGATGAAGGCAAGGCAGGGTCCTTTACAGGAGAGTAAGAGTTGGAGGGGTAGAGAACATTGGAGCTAAAAGAGAATGCAATTTTCAAGGTTATTTAAATATGTCTTGAAAAAATAGGTTTTACCACAACATATCAGCTCATTGGTTGTGACGAAACTTAGGAAAACCGTGAGAGGGCATGGGGAGGTCTTGGGGGTAGAGGGCATGGGGAGGTCTCGGGGGTAAAGCATCTGCTGTGCAAACATGAGGCCCTGAGTTCAGATTCCCAGCACTCATGTCAACAGCCACACGTGTAATTCCAGTGCTGGAGGTGGGAAAGAGGGATCCCATGGCCTCGCTGGCCTGCCAGCTTAGTCAGTAGAGGAGGACAGTGGTAGAGAAAGGACAGCTGATGTCAGCCTCTCATTTCCACACATGTATACACATGCACAGCACACACACACACACACACACACACACACACACACACACACACACACATATGCACACACACGCACACACACACACACCAACACACACACATGCACACACATAGACACACACATGCACGCACAGGACACATGGTAGGAGGGAATTAGGGGGAGGGGAGAAAAAGATTGAGAGAGCCATGAGAAAAGCTGTAGTTATTTTTCTACACACCTCTTAATCTGTCATTTTTTCTGCAAACCACACGGAATGCCACAGAATCTCGAGGTCACAGCTTTGTAAATAGGTGATGCCATCTACTTTTCAAATCTTTCTAGATTTAGTTTAGATTTCTAGATTAAAACAAATTCCCACTCATCTAATTCATATAAAAGGAAAAAGAATGAGGCAGATTTGCTTTCTTCATTTAAATGTCAAAGCAGGTACTTTGGCTTTCTTTTCTTACTTCTTCCAAAGGAAAAGCATGAGGCATGGTACTGAAAATCTTGATTTTTAAGAATTCACCAGTCTTACAGGGCTTCCTCTCCTGGCCTGTGAGTCACTGCTGCTGTCGGGTGCTTACCTGGTTTGCTTGCTGTCGGGTCAGTAGTGTCCCCTGATCTGGAGATGTTGTTGGAGGAAGTCCCAGAGTGGGGCTAATCTGCTTCTGTGAATATAAGTATTTGATAAAGCACGAGGGACGCATTTGAGGTTTTGGATCCTTTTGGATCAGGAAGGTAACAGGTTGTCCCCTAAACAACGATATTCATTTAAACTCTTTTGGAGCAGTTTTAAGTCCTCAAGACACTTTATGCTTGGCTGGATTTGGAATCAGGGACTGGGAAAATGCCAGGTCAAGGGGTAAGGCATGGGGGATTCCAGTGCTTGTCTCCAGCTCCCATTTATTTACTGTGACCCTTCTCTCCTCTGCTAAGACTTGTGTTATCTCTGAGTCTTAGTTCTGTGCATATCTGCTTTTATTTTTCTTGCAATATTTGAATTAAACTACATTTTTTTGAACCTTTCTACGTTTGCTTTGCATGTGACATGCCAAGCTTGCAATAGAAATTCAGTCTCTTTCCTGGCTAGAATATTTACTTTGTATTAGAACTCTTCAAACTTAAGGGTGAAAATGACCTTGCCATACAGACAGTCTAGTTGTTTGGCTTTGTTTATATTTTATAGGTGAGAGAAGACCTGTGCAAGGTCACCTGGTGATGTCAGAGCCAGTACTGGGACCACTGCAGCGACTCTAGTTCTGAATACAAAAAAAACCCTCCCCTGGGGTCTGACCCCAGAATGCTTTTGTTGCTGGATGCATTGCAGAGGGCAGGAAGGGTGGTCCTCTAGTGATGCCAACTCTTGGGCCAATTTTTTTTTTTTTTTTTTTTGCCTTGCTTCAGATACTAAGTTTGCACTGAGAACTTCTTAATAATGCGTTGGTCATTCATATTTTGTTTCACCCTCTCTATTCATTTTTTTCTCTAAGCAGTGATTCGATGTGTGTAGCCATTGTGAGTTCCAGGGGGATGGCGCTCCCTAGTTTGTTCTCACCACTGCATTTTTAGCACCCAGGACGCATCTGCCATCTAGAACATTCCAACTAGTCTGTTGATTGTGTAGGAGAGCATGGAAGACCAGATGAACTTGAGGGTTTCTTCTTTCTTTCATAGTAAACCTATTGCATTTTCCCTGTGTATCTTAAACATCTTGATCAAGAGAAATCTATGTAGAGATCAAATAGTCCATCTCTATGTCTATAAAATAACTTAGGACAACTGAAGTAAGGATGGAATACCAGTCCCCACCCCCCATTTAAAAAGATCTGTTATATGTCAACATGTTTTGTAATGCTACATGTTAAGTAAAAACTGTTCATTTTATGATGTGTGTCACATAATTTTTTATCTAAGAGTTTATCCAATTTAGATGCTTTGTGTATCAAGTAGAAAAATCAGAAAGTATCGTCTACCCTTTTAGTCATGAACAAATAACTAGTCACCAAGAAAATCTTAATTTTGTTTTGGAAAATAAAATAGTTACTTACTCTGTCTAAACAATTACTTACGTTGCCCAAACAATTGAAAATTTTCTATGATAAAGTGGATGCATTTAAAAATGCAAAACACTGAAATTTGCATGAACAACTTATTAATTTACCATCTTTTGCTTTGGAAAATAAAATCAGGAAACTTAAATGGGTCACAGAACAGAGTGGTTTTGTTGAAAAGCAGGAAGAGATAAATGTCTGTAAATGAGACATGGCTGAGGCTGGTCAGTACATAAAGTAAACATATTGCACTTACTGGTAATGACTGAGTTGATCCTAGAAGACAAAACAGTAGAATCGTAGTCTTCATGTTTCGATTTGCTACCTATAAGAACAAAATTGTGTTACTCTTTCACTTTTTTTTAACCTTTGAGAGAAGATGACACTTAAAAATGATCATTCTACTTGCAATCTGGTCAAGTAATGTTACCTTTGTGCTACCAGGCAAAATGATATTCAAAATCCAGATGACTTCTCCACTTTGGTGCAAAATTTGTCTTTTGCTGATTTGTGTTTGTAGAAGGAATTTAAGCTCAACTACAGAAGACAGGCAACTTGAAAGACCAATCAGGGCGAAACTGTCTGTGAAATCATTTGGTTTCATTTCCCAACACTTCATTAGGTGGGTTATTAGCTGCAGACATTATATTACCCAATGTCTATGGTTTGACTAGAGGGTATTTTAGGGAGACATGCCTGTATAATTTTAAAAACTGCAGACAACAACAACAACAACAAAAAAGACAATTGTCTTCACTTCCAACTCTTTTGCAAAATATTTCGTGAATTTACTGGTTTTATCATATAAGAGTGAGCAAATACCTCAAACACCAAAATATGGAGCTCTCTCTATACTTTACAAAAAAGTCTATTATATATATTTCTTTATAACCTAACTTATTTCCTTGATTAATAATGAACTTTGTGTGTCAGTACACATAGATCAATTTTATTTATTTAATGGTTAAATTGTATTACACTTTCTTCTTGATGTATAGATAATCGGTTATCATTTTATGTTTTTTAAATTATAAACATGTTACACCAAACATTTTCATAACATATTTCTTACATATGTAGCAGTATTTCTGTATGTGTTACTGCTAGGAATATTGAAAAATATACAAACATCTACAATTTCAATGAACATGTCAATATTGCCTCTAAGAATGGTTGAAAAATTTACATGATTTCAAATAATGAAAAAGATGATGTGTATGAGCCAAAGACAGGAATCTGCTGAGGTTTCTGTCATAAGATGGACAGTTCACACCTACCCACAGGCTTCCAGGGCTTGGCCTTCAGACAAGGCCAGGTCTACTCACTATTATCTGAAATGAAATCAATGATGAATCTGTCTGTTGGAATCTCATACTGAAGACCTTGTGACATCCAGCGTCATCTTTTCTTCAGTATGGACTATCTATTGATGGAAAATTGGCTGAGGTGAGGAGTCGTTTGCCTAAGTTTTCCTCAAACAACTCTACTCATTTACTTATGACTGTCAGATAATCTGTTAGGAATGGAGGAACATTGTATTAGTGGCTAACAGTAATAACATGTGTGGTAAGTATAACAACAGGAGTGTACAAAGTGTGAAGAAAAGCTTTTGATTGGGGGCAGGGAAGGCTTTATGGAGGAGATCACTCTTGAGGTGAGTTTTGAAGGATGGAAAGAAATTCATTAAAAAGTAAGGAGAGGGTGGAGAGATGGTTCCTGCCTTGTAAGTATGAGGACTTGAGTTTGGATCACCAACACTCACATACAAGCTGGGCACAGCCGCTTTTGTCTATATCCCATAGGCTGTTGGGACAGATCCCTGGAGCTTGTTAACCTACAGTCTAGCTAGTTGGTCAGCTCCAGGTTCAGTGCGAAATCCTGTCTTGAAAGATAAGGTGGAGTGTGATGGAGAATGACATCGTACACTGACTTCTGACCTTCACATGAATGTACACACACACACACACACACACACACACACACACACACACACACACACACGTATGCATGCATATCCACATATACATCTGCACACCCCATATGAACACAGACATAGGCACACACATGTACACATGTGCGCAAAGGGAGAGAGATCGAATAAATCAGGTGGATTTGGAGAATAAATATGATGAGCAAGGCAAGACATAGTATGCAAAAAGTTAATACTGAGAGGACTAATGGAACATAAATGCTTCAGGATTTGAAGGGAAGCAATTATTTGTGTGTGTGTGTGCGCGTATGCATGCCTCTGTGCACTTCCTGCCAGTGTACAGTGTGATGAGCCATTTGACTGGCCCTTGAAGCAGCTTCTTGGTTCTTATGTCCTTTCCCAGGCAAGTTCATATTATTGTTTTTGGACAAATTTATTTAATAAAATTTCTAAAAATTGTGCATGTGTATTTTGCCTGTATGTTTGTGTGCCATGTGTCTGCTGGTTCCAGTAGAGGCCAGAAGAGAGAATTGGATTCCTTGGAACTAGATTTATACATGATTGTGAAGTACCATGTGTGTTGGAAATTGAACCTGGGTTTTTCTGGAAGAGAAGTCAGTGCCCTTAATCACTGAGCCAACTCTTCAGCCCTAGTTAATTAATTTTTCTAACACATCACTTAACATATCACTCTATATCCACCAATACTGTTTCAGTATCTGGATATAAAAATCCATCTTCCTTGTGGAGCTTACATTTATTGGTAGGAACACTAGATTTTCAAGCAGCTTCAGTGTGTGATAGACCCCCTGCACTGCATATTCTACTACTCCCAGATTTTATTTTAAGTTTATTTGCAGATCATCCTTTAATCTGTTTTTGTTTGTGCAGAGGAAGAATTGAGTTTCATGTCATTGCTGTCTCAGGGATTATGTGGGGAAATCTGTGTTCTATTTCTAGAGTATGGCTCCAGTAAGTAGCAAATTCAGTTAAATCACTGCCTCTGTCTGGGGCTCAGGTGATTCAGGGACCTCACAGTGAGTACATTACTTATTTCAGACATACCTCTAAACCTAAGCTGAAATGAGACATGTCCTAGCCAGGAAACTGAGTAGTCAGTGGGATTAGACTAAAACAAGCAGGCAACATTATGAGGGCTGAGTAATTTCATAGACAAGAAAATTTATGTCTGAAAGCAGATACCTCTCAACAATGTAATTATGGAATTTTGGTATCAGGAAGTACATACTATGAAAGGGGAAAATTTCTAAATTGTACCAAAGCAAGGTACATCAGTGAAAACATATAATTTTATTTCTGAAATTACTTAGGTATCAGGATTCACTAAAGGGTTTTATGAACTACAAGTGGTATCTTATGCCTTAAAGGTCTAGGCACTTTACAATTTTCTTTTTTATTGAGTTTAGTTTTATGTTTCTTTAGATTATGGGCCTTTTGAAATCCATTGAGTCTGTGTACCACGTTATTAGAAAATACATATATGACAATGAACATAATGCATACCAGACAATGCTAAGAGTTTTGTAGACCTAAGAGCATAACAATGAAGACTTACGTGAAGTCTCCAATTTAAAGGAAACTTGATGGAATTCTCTTGTGGTTTGTGCAATCCCTCAACTGTATAGGAGTTTTCAATCAATAAATGTATTCTCTCCCCAATTCCACCATACTCAATGCATATAGGAAAAGCTGGAATTATTTAAGATACTGTTGAGAAAGACCAGTCCAAGAGGAGCTGTTTAGCAATGAGAGGAAAAGGCAGATTGGAAATCCTTTCTGTCTCCTTTTGTCAATGTCACAAGGATGTCAGGCTCATGATTTCTATTGATTATGATGATTGAACAAGTTAAATATATAAATAATTCGAAACTATACCCAGCATTCCTCAATACATTATAATTACAATGATATCTATTAAGCAGGAAACAAGTTGCACTTGTCTTAGGTACTATGATCCTAAAATGAGTAGGAGAAAATCCATTCTTACATTCTTGTAGGAAACACAGCAAGTATCCAAGAACCATAAAGTGGATGTATCGCAAGAGACCAGCAAACATCTGGAGTGCAGATTCATCTTACATCATTGCATTTGTTTATGATAACCCTCTGCTTGGAGTCCTCTTCCACATTTCTTTTGCTTATCACCCGATATCCTCCTTGAGTCTAGTACCTTTGTAAAGTCACCTTTGTCCTTGTTTGGAGTCAGTCTCTTCCTTTTCTGAGGTCCTACTGAAATGTGTGTATGACTTTCCTACTTTATTCTACTTTCATAGATACTAGTTTTTGTTATCTCTTGAGATGTTAGATTTCAAGGAACCTTCCAAGTCTTTATCAACTATTATAGCCTCTATAGTTCCAGACACAGTTTTGTGTGTGATTGCTCATTTAATGACTTCAACTTAATGAATGTACATCTGTTTCTGCTTCTGTGCTTACAAAAATAGGAAAGAATACTTGAACAGTTTATAGAACCTCAGAATAAAGTAGGGTATTTGCTTAGAAACATGAGGTGGAGTTAGCTTTCTATGAAGTAGCTGAATGGAGGCTAGACTAGTAATTGAATTGTCTAAAATTCTACCTAGTGGAAGAAAACTATGTATATATGTTTCTAAACTACTTGATGTTTTGTTCAGTGTATATTGGGAAAATGTGTTTAGATTTCTTGGCAGAGTAAGTTAGCCATTGGTTATAGGTGATTCATTGTTATTGGAATTTTGAATATATTTTATCACATTTCCTCATGCAGTGGCCTTCAGCTTCATAGAGTATAGTAATGTTAAACTCTATTAATGTAAAATTTCAACTCAACAGTAGATGTTCAGAGATTTTCAAGACAGAAAGGCATGTCTTGCAAAGAGGAGGCAAATGAGAAGCTGAAGGGAAGGGTAAAGGATGTTTTACTAGTGTGAGGAAACAGTAGACAGTCACGGACGTGACTTCCAGTTTTGTGAAGTTATCACAAAAATACCTGGTTTCAGAGTCAAATGGAAGGACAGGATGAGGTTCTTTGTGGCATAAGGAAAGTCTGTGGTTTTAAGGTTAGATGCAGTCATCTAACTTTGGGGAGATTCTTTCATTTCAGAGCTGTCAATGTCAGTTCTGGGAATGTTAGGATGTGGAGCTTGTAGTTAGGAGAGAGCTGAGGTGCGGAGCTGTAGAAAGGGCTTTTCAAGTGGTGGTGGCCGGGCAATGAAAGCTGTAGCAGTGGTTTGTATTTCAGAGTGAGAGCTTAGGGATGAAAATGTTGAATAGGTTTCATTCATTCAGATGTGGGTTTGTACAAAATAGATGAAAAAAAGACATTCTGGAATTTGTTCACGTGTTTTATTGATTTGTAGAATTGTATGTTTGGGGTCCTC